GCAGTGGGAGGAATGGAAAGAGGGGGTGGGTGTGGGAGGGAAGCCAGTGCAGGGATTGACAGAGGGGGGTGGGGAATGGAAGCCAGTGGAGGGATTGGCAGAGGGTTGGATGCAGACACTGAGCGGTTGGTAAGGTGAATGAGTCTAGCAGCTGCATTCATGATAGACTGAAGGGGGGATATCCTGTGTAGTGGAAGGCCAATGAGGAGGGAGTTACAATAGTCAAGACGAGAGATAAGAAGGGAGTGTATGAGTAGTTTAGCGGTGTCATTGGTGAGGAAGGGGCGTATTTTTGAGATGTTACGAAGGTGAAGGCGGCAGGATTTGGATAGTGATTGGATGTGGGGAAGAAAGGTGAGGTCCGAGTCAAGGATGACACCTAGGACCTAGGCATGAGGGGAGGTTTGGATAGTTGTGTTATCAATCACAACTGAAATGTTGGGGGAAGGTGCACGGTATAGGTTACGTCAATCACAAGTCTATTCAAGGAGTATTTCTCCATGAATGGACCTGTTGGATACATAGTGGATACATGGTGGGTAAACGTGTGGTAAAGCCCTAATTGAACAAGATCAGTGGCATTCAATACTCCCCTAAGAAAGAAGTGGATAAGAGCATTCCTAGGGCTAGTGAGTTACTATGGGCCCTTCATTCCCAACTTTGCCAGTTTTATGAGCCCTCTACCTGAGCTTACTAAAGGGAATTTACCCAACAAAGTTCAGTAGACAGAGGAAGAAGAGGCTTCATTTCAAGTTCTTAAAAGGTCACTTTGTACAAGCCCAATACTTGTGTCTCCAAATTTTGGAGAACCCTTTTTGCTCCAGAGAGATGCCTCTGATCTCCATCTGGGGCAGAACTGTTTCAAATGGTAGATGACAAAGAACTAGGCAGAGTGCCGCAATGCTGAGTAGGTAGTGTGGGATCCCTCAGTACACAGGGTTTAAGGGCCAGCCGGTCTTCCCCAGAGCTCCTAAAGTTGGAGAAGTTAGCCCTCGTTCACACCTGAACGTTTTGTAGCGCGTTCTACGCTCGACGAACGCTCTACAAAACACTCAAACATCTAAATCCCATTGTATTCAATGGTCTCGTTCCCATCTTGGCGTATTTCCGCCCGTCCCTAACGCGCTACAAAACGGCCCACGCCTGAAAAGGTACAGGTACTACTTTGGGCCGTTTTGTTGCGCGTTTCCATTGGGATACAGCCAAGTAGCCTCCAGAAACGCGCGACGGTCGCGCAACTTTTTTACAGCGAATCGCGGTAAAAAAAACGCGCAACGGTGTGAACGAGACCTACTCTGCATGCTGACCCCAGGTCACGGCCCCCAGGTTAACCCAATTCAGCTGAAAGCCCATGAAGGTTGATAAGGCCAGACTTCCGGACAGGCTGCAGACACAGATATGGGAGACGAATCAAAGGTTTTTTTCTGTTACCAGCTGGCTTGAGAAGACACAAGTGCTGTTTGTGAAGAGTGTGTCACTAACTGAATACAATAAAGTTCCCATGCTAAGATTGTTTGGACTCCAGCCCCTATAAGTTTATCTTTTTACTGACCGTATTGAGACGCAGTGTTACCTGGGGGCAGGCACATATTTTTTTAAATACCACTTTGTCCTTAATTAAGGTAACAGGGTCTCTTTAAGTTTTCAAACACATTTGTGAACATTACCAGACACTTTTTTTTTTTACCAGACTGATTTTTTAGGACAAGGATAAGAAAAAAAGGAAATTGTAACTTACGATACAAAGTCAAATAAATGAAGAAAAGCCTGACATAAGATAGCACACTTTATTAAAACGTATCAAACCGGCTACATAGAATTCTATACAAATAAAACGTAATTTGTCAACTATTCATCACACTTATTGCAGCCGCACAGTTCACTGGATGATGTTCTGGAGACGTTTCTGTGATGACTCTAAAAACACAGCAGATGACAGAATCAAATATTCATTTGTATTATTAGATGAAAGTTCTGCAATGGACAGAAGAGATAAAAGACTCCCAATAATAACCAAGTCACAGCGCTGGATGACAAACATGTTTCTGCTAAACTAAGCCTTACTCACTGCCTCCAAGTCCTGGACAAGTCTTTTTAGTGTTCCTCTCCGGGAAATTCCAGACAACATTCCCACGTACCTTCCCTGACAACGTTCCCATGTACCATCCCTGACAACGTTCCGACGTACCTTCCCTGACAACGTTCCCACGTACCTTCCCTGACAATGTTCCCAGGTACCTTCCCTGACAACGTTCCCAGGTACCCTCCCAGACACCATTCCCACATACCTTCCCAGAAAACATTACCTGTCTTACATGCTACATTATAAAGATATTTACATTTACAAGTTCTATTACAATTTAAAATCGTGCTAGAAAGCTAAAAACAAGTATATATATTTAGACATTCATGGCGAAGAACATTGACATATTCAAGTCTCTGAGTTCCTCCAGCTTCTGGTCCAGAATCTTCTCAGAATGATCCTCTTCAGCTTGTTGCTGGCCTGGAAGATGACGGCAGCCTCAACCAATGGAGATAACAATTGTAAATTCCAGCTGACCGTTTGTATTACGGTCTCTTGGGAAGTTATAATGAAAATAAGCACCTGAGATATGGAGAAGGAGGTGAACATGAGGAGTAAGAAGAAGATTGTCCTCAGTGCAGTGACGTGAGCCTGAAGATTTGGCCGTGAGGATCCGGAGTCATTATTCTTCACCCTCCAGACGTGTCTGACCAGGAAGGAGAAGGTGAGAAGAAGACACAGAAGACTAAGGCAGAATGGCAGAATGCAGCCCAGGAAGGTCACAGGCACAAAATAGGGGTAATTGCCATTATAAAGGACCCTTATAATAGAAGCTTCTGTACTGTTCTTTGTAGATTGTATTTGACTTTCGTCATTGAACACCCAGATATTTAGAAAACTCACAGGGAATATCGCAAGTGCTGTCAGGAAAAGAACTTGACTCAGGAAATTTGACACAATTCTCTTTAACCAGATGAAGAACCTATAGCTGAGGTTGGTGATAGTGGTACAGTAGTAAACGGAGAGCCAGAGAGTCAGCCAAAAGCTGAAATATGTGAGGAAGTAGATTGATAAGATAACAAATGCATATCCTTCTCTGCTGTAGAGGAGGACAGATGACGTGACATAGGTCACTCCCTGGAAAGCCATGAAACCCTGGAGGAGAATATTCACAATTCCTTTAGCCATAAAGATCACATCGGAGGGACTCAGCTTCCCTTTCTTTCTGATGCTCTCCAGGTTAACGATCACAATGAGAGTGTTGGAAGGTATTGCCAAGCCGAATCCCAAGACCAAAGAGATTAAAACCGAGATGGAGCCTGGATTGAACATGTTTAGGTTTGGTGTCAGTTCTGGACAGAGATGACGGTACGCATCCAGTGAAAACAGACAGAACGATGTGTTTCAGGTTTGAATGATGTAAATACGCTTCAGAGATCCATTTCATGATTGACTTTGCATGAACGTGATGGCATTCAATCCAATGCCAACATCTGAAGTACATAGCAAACTGTGCAAACGATTTCAAATCATTTCCATGATACCGGCACATTTAACCATTTGTGTGTCCCTCACTGACCCTTTTTTTCCACATTCAGCAGCATGACTATGGATTTGGCATATCGATAGTCGATACAAAGGCTTTCCATGATAACTTATCTATAGAAATTGTCACGCAGTATGGTGTGAGTCTGAAGTGATGAGGACGGCCTCCCCTTGCAGCTCTCGTCTGAGCCACACTGGAGATGAGACAGCAGCTCAGGGGGGTAGCTAGAAATCACAGGGCCCCATAGCAAAAATTCTGTATGGGGCCCTGTGATTTCTAGTTAAGCCCACCTGATAACACAAACAGCCCACCTGAGGGTGACTCTGCAGAGCCCAACATAGACTCTCTATGGTGGGCTCTGCGGGGTCTCAGGTGGCCGGTCAAGCCCTCTTACCTGTCTGCTCCGATCCTCTGTCCTCCTCCTCCTCCTACACGATCGCTTGCGAGCCCCACCTCCTCCTTAGCTGGACCCCGCCCCCTCAATCAACGGGCCCCGCCTCTACTTGCTAGTTTGCTAGTTATGCCACTTGCAGAGACCACCTGATATACCAAACAGCCCACCCGAGAATGACCCTGCAGAGCCCACCATAAACTCTCTATAGTGGGCTCCGCAGGGTCTCAGATGGGCCGCTTACCTCTTACCTGTCAGCGCTGTCCGTCTCTGTGGTCGCCGGGCCCCGCCTCCTCTTCCGTCCTCAGGCCCCACCTCCTCTTCTAATCGACGGGCCCGCCTCCTCTTAGGTCGCTGGCCAGAGGAGGTGGGGTTGCTCTTAAGCGCCTCGTCCTTCACTGCGAATGCCGGCCTCTTCTGACGCAGCTGCTGGCTGTCACTGACACAGCTCCGCAGTGGCTGTGGGGGGAAATGCGCCGCGGCCGCTGCACATATCGCTGACAGGTTGTCAGTGATCTTCACAGCCGCTGCTGAGCTGTGTGAGTGACAGCCAGCGTCCTTACATGCCTTTGCGACCCAGGCGGCCCACACGGCATCAGAGGGATGCTCTGGCAGGGTCCCCCTGTGCCTGGGCCCCATAGCGGCCGCCTGGGTTGCTATGGCGATTGTTACGCCACTGAAGCAGTTGTACAGACTGAGAGACGCACAAGTGCTTGTGGCTGATGCAGATGTTGACACACCAGAGACGATGGTGCTGATGACTGGCTGCCAGAGGTTGCTGGTGGTTGCTAGCAGATCAGGCAGCACTGGTGTGAGGAGCAAGTTGTTTATTCCTTAATGACCTTTATTCCACATTCAGCAGTATGACTATGGACTTGACATGTCAATAGGGGATACAAAAACTTTCTATATTGAGTTACCTATCAATATTTTCTTTATTTTAAGTTTTTTTAAAACACTATAGAACAAACCATACAGAATAAAACGATCATAATTAATTTGGGATGAACCGATACTTTTCAGATACCAATGCCGGATACTTGGCATTTTCATGAGAACTACCAGGGTTGCAGCTGGGACCGGGCCCCGGCGCTCCACCGCTGTCCTGAAATCATTAGTCTGTATTGTTTTAGAAAAACTGTCACATGACAATAAACAAAAATGTATCAGTACTCGTACTGGCAAAACTGTTATCGGTGCATCACTTATATATGTCTATAAAAACAAAATCATACATTATAACAGAGATGTACAAATCCCGGGAGCTCCGTGTGCTCCTTACAAATGACAGCGGCCTCCTAATTTTTCTATAGTGTAGTCTTGGAGCTGGAAAAGCATCGGTACTTGTACTTGTACCGGGTACTGTACTTGGTATCGGTGCATCCCTAATAATAAACAAACGATTACATTTTTTTTCATTATATATACTAAAAAATAAATAAGAAGGGAGACCGGGTATCAGAGGGTCATAGGTGTTATTTAGGAGCTACTCCGGATCTTGTATGGGTTATTGAGGGTTTTATAGAACACAATCGTTACATACAACATCTATATATATTGTCAGAACATTTGATATGAAATGATGGAACTAACCTAGGAAGACTGGCAGATAGGCAGAGCCAGCTGTCACTCACGCAGCTGGGCGGATCCCGGCATAATTGTCGGGATCCGCTCCGGCTGCGGCGTCTCAGTATACCGCGAGCTGTAGCTCTCTATATACTCAGCTTAGGGTGACGGGAGGACGCTAGTTTGTGTCCTCCCGTTACCCTAAGGAGAACTATGGGGAAAAGCCCTAACCCCTAATTCTCCTTTAAGGACGTAGTCCACTTGCTTACCACGTCTTTTTGAGGGCTTCTTTGCCCTTTTTTATTATTTCAAACATAAAAGTCCACACAGGTGTTTCCCTCGCAGGGGTCTTCAAACACAGTACAGCAAAATGATGACATTCCAAGTCTCACTGACTTCAGGTTATCACAAAAAAAACCTCTCCCAAACAGGCGGCATCCCACAGACTTGCCACACAGGCTGGTTCCAGGATGGAGTCCTCCTGACTCCTGGACCGACACCTCCCTTGTCTTACAGCTGGAACCCTGAACCTGACCCGGCATCCTCCTCATAAGGGCTGTGCACGGGTGTACCATCATTCAATGCCGGTCACCACTAAAGCCCGGAACCCAGGAATGGAGATTTCTTCCCTCCCAGTTCTCTTAGAAATCTCACGGCTCCAGGATCCCAACTGTAATCCAGAAAACCCGGAAGGAGTTGTAAAATCAGCTCTTCCCAGGTAACAGTACTTTCCTGGAGCCGCTCAGCCCCTCTTGCTGGGAGTCCTGGGTGACTTTGATGCCACATTATACCGTGGGATTGCCACGCAATGCCACAACATTTACAGGGAAGGAATTCTGAATGAATGAAATGAAGAATGAATGGATTATCTGAATAATCATTGCTTTAATACCCTTTGAAAGAGAATGCCTTATCATGTAAGTGTAACCCCTAAAAACATTGAGTTGTATGAATAATGGTGTTGAATGTCACCACCATGCTCGGAGCCATGGAGCGAGTATCAGCAAAACAGCAGAATTCGTTACATGTTCAGGAGCGGCTCATTGTTAAAGTATTTAAAGACCGGACTGTCAGCCGGAAATCTGGGTGTGAGCGTGCGAATTGTGGCCGTCAGCGACTAGTCAATGTTAGGGCAGAACGGAGGAGGGGCGAGACTGGTACAAGACAACAGAAGGGTAACAGTGCCGTGTCAGATTCCTCGCATCACCTTTCATCATCTCGTGGAGTCACGAGGTGGCCCAACTAAGTCATCTTGTGGAGCCATCTCGTGGCCCAACGAAGTACTGATGGGGTGGTCATAATAATCTGGCCACTCAGTGTATAGAGATATTTACATAGATATGCATGTGCCCATCAGACACATTACTAGAGATCATGTGGAGTATCTGCCTGGAGATGCATTATGGGATGGAAGTAGGAATAGACGGACAGGATGGAAAAATATGGTGGATCATATTCAGCAAAGAATGTGGAATTGTTCAAGAAACTTTTGGACGATTTCTTAAGGGACCGTAATATACAGGGGTACAGGTACTCCTAGAATGAGATCCTAATAGGTTGGACTTGATGGACTAATGTCTTTATTCAACCTCATATACTATGTAACTATGTAACTATCATATAATAAGTTGTTGCCTTGGAAGATGACCATCAAACTAAGAAGCCCCAAGCTCAGAATTAATGGTATTGGTGCACTGTCTGATGGACAGGTATCATCAACACTTGAATAAATAATCAAATGAAAGTAAAATGCTGATGTTCTGACAGATGTGCCCACCAACCACCGACGTCCAACATGAGAAATGTTGGGAATACTGAAATGACATCCATGCTGATTCATAAGGTGAACATACAATGATGCTGCGCAGCTGTGCGCCATTTTAATGTATGCAAACTGCGAAGATATAAAATTACTTCATCTAGAAGCCAAATAGATGAAAACAAATATTATGTAAAAGGACTGGAGACTGTTTGTGCACCTGGACTCGTCTCAGTAGATATCAGGTGAATCATTACCTGCTGGGGTGAGCTTAACGCTGACTATGCTGGAATATTGTTCTAAAGAACAGTGAGGGGGATTTACTATGACTGGAGCAGAGAAAATCGGGAGCAGCTGTGCATGGCAACCAATCAGCTTCTAGCTTTCATTTTTAGGACTTTACTGAACAAGCTGAAGAGAGAAGCCGATTGGTTTGCTGTGCACAGCTGCTCCAGGTTCTGTCTGCTTCAATGTTAGTAAATTCCCCCGAGTGTGTTCTAAAATGATTGATTTTGTACAGGGAGAGATAAGTCACACTGAGGCCTATCGATGTGAGAGTCAGAAGGAATGGTAGACAGCAACCCGACATCGTGTTAAAAATTGTGTAAGGAGAGGGGCGTGGCTTGCAGGCGCGCTGCATGGACGCTTCTGCCTAGAGCTCCGTGCAGCGACGTGCCTCGAGGCGGCTTAAAGCGACGAACGGGTCTTACCCACACACGACAGAACCCTCCTCTGCTTCCCCATACCACCGGGGATGAAGCGGTCACAGTCACTACATACTTATCAAACACAAGAAAGTGGGAGGCTTGGGGATCCCAGACCTAAGGGACTACTATTTTGCAGCCCTCCGTGACGCACTGCAAGCCTGGCTACAGCCACCCCAAAACAAATTGTGGTGCGAGGTGGAGGCATCATTCATTCCAAAATGCAACCCCCATATATACCGGATTGCTCATGCATTACCCAAGGAGATAGTAAACACCCTCTCACCTATGACTCGAGCTTCCCTAGTGGCATGGCATCAATTAATGTGTGAAACCACGATAGTAGGATCCCGAGCGTCTCTGGAT